ATCATAGCAATGGTAAGAGAAACCATGTGCCTGTATGATGGGTCCCAGTGATGTGGTGTAAATGGAGAAGAGGAGGGGTCCAAGCACTGCACCCTGGGGAACCCCTGTGGTCAGTTGATGTGCTTTGGATACCTCGCCTCTCCATGGACCCTGAAGGACCTACCTGTGAGATAGGACTCAAACCAGTGGAGGGAAGTTCCAGTGATGCCGAGTGATGAGAGAGTGGACAGAAGGACAGAGAGTGGTTCACAGTGTCGGCAGCAGACAGGTGCAGGCGAATGAGAACTGATGATTTGGAAGCAGCTTTTGCGATCCGCACGGCTTCTGTGACTGACAGCAATGCAGTCTCGGTTGAATGGCCTTTCTTGAAGTCTGATTGGTTGACATCCAGCTGGTTGTTCAGAGACAGGAAATAATGATACTTGGTTGAAAGCTGGTACTGTGGCCGGAAGTGGTTGAAAGCTGGTCCTGTGGCCGGAAGTGGTGCAAAAGTTGCTACAGTAAACTTCTATAGATCTAGACATGGTGTTTATCTGTAAAGGAACTCAATAAGCTGAGTTGATTTTCACTTAAACTATGGAACATCAGCATCTTGATAAATGCACATCCTCCCAGTGTCGCAATGAAGTAAGTTCCACAGATAGTGGGGTTGAGTCCGGCGTGGGACGACGACTTTAGAAAAAAAAAGGAACTACTAATCTTTCTTTCTCTTGGATTAGAAATAAGTATGTTTTGTTTATTCTTTGTTCATTCTCATCTGAACTTCTGTTCATTTTGGGTTCAATTTCACCTGTACTTTTTTTTTTTTTTTTTTTGCATTTGGACTTTTTTTTTTGCAAATTGAACCAAAATGTTTTTGTTTCTTCCTTTTTCCTTTGCCCGATTGTACGCCTATAGAATAGAAAAAAGAAGGCTTCTCTTGACAAAGTATGAATTGATTTGTTGTGTGAAATATTATCTCACTAACACAATATGCAGGATGCTGTTGGACCAATCAAAACATTACACCTGCCCCATATTACTAATATAGACTTACCCAACAGTTACCAATGAACGCTTCAATCTTTCACAGCCTTCTCCACTGCTTTTCTCTTTCTCCTCTTGCTCTTTTTCTTCTTCCACCTTACCACTCACGTTTATAGAGTATTTGCAGTCATTCACCATAGTTTTAAATGGTGAGTGTACTCCTATTTCCTCACGTGAGCTCTCTTCACTCGTGTTTCTGTCATCCATACACACATCGCAGCGCTTCACTGGATCTGAAAGCCTTGTTGACTGCACATTTGCAAGCCAGTGATCTTCAGGATGCTGGTCAGGTGGAATACTGATGTCACATGATTCTGGTTTTATGTGGTCTGCAGTATCCAGAGGACCAGTACTGGTAAGATCACATCTCTCTTCACTGACTTCAGTAAGAAAAGCAATAGTGTCAAGTCTCTTGCTCATTACAATGAACTGGTTTACAATGACGTGGACATCTCCAGGACATTAAGAATGACATCAGTCACATGGTCTTGGTAAAAGTGGGATCTATTGGAAGCATCTAAAAATAGACAATATACTCAGTATTGTCATGATTATTGCACATTTTTTGTCCATTCCTTTACCTTGCATCGAATGGACAAACGAGTGTACAGATTAAACAAAAGGGCAAGATCAGAAAGTAAAATGGTGCAAAGAATAATATCTAGATATTCTAAAAGAGTGGATATTTAGGGCCATGTCCACAGGATTAAGGAGGAGGCGTATCTATTATCCCAAAAGTTCTCCTTTGTGGAAAATTATCCTTTAATTGCAAATGAACTCAAATTAACCGCAGCTCAAAAGTTTGGGGTCTCTTATTCTTTTTGAAAGAAAGTAAAAACAGTAATATTGTGAAATATAACAATGAACTGTTTTCTGATTTAATCATTCTAATATGCTGATTTGCTGATCAAGAAGCTTTTTCTTATCAATGTTGAAAACAGTTGTTCTGCTTAACCTTCAAATGGTCTTCATTTCCTGTTTACACTTCTGGGCTTCGGGGTCTATACGACCCCAACAATTGATTGAGTAATTGTACAAAAAAATATACATTTTTAATCTTACAAATAATATATCATTTTTTTTGTTTACTTCTCATCTATTCATTAATGCTGTGTTTTTGGAGATATAAAGTACTTTTGTATCCATAATACCACACAATTCCTCAACTACACCATTAGCTTTAGCATTAGCATTTTTATTAGCATTAGGATTTTTTTTTGACACATAAAGAAAATATTTTTTTTTTTCCTCACATTTATCATTCATTTCAATGTGGGTTCATATTGACCCTGAAGTCCAGAAGTGTAAACCTTTTTTTTTTTTTTTTTACATACCTTTAGAACAACCGAATCATGCCTGTGTGTATACAGATAATGTATGAAAAGTCACAAAATCTTATTCCACTGAGATGAAGGGAACCTTTTTTTGATTAAGTAAAAGTTGATTGGGGTCGTATAGACCCCATGACCCGATTGAGGGTTAATATTTGTGTGGAAACAGTGATATACTGTATATATTTTAGGATACTTTAGATTTCAGGATACAAAAGAACATAATTTATTTGAAATATAAATATTTAATGTGTTAATGTTTCCTTGGAGAATAACCACAAAAACAAAAATCTAGTGTAGATTTTCAAGTGAGCCAATTGAGCTTGTCATATTCTGAAAGCCCTTGCTATTTTGGTTCAAATAAAACCATAATTATTACTTGAGGGAACAGCCTTGTATTATATTTTTGCAATTTTATTTTAGTTATTTATTTTATAAAAATGTTATTATTATATGCACTATGAATGTTTCAGCAATGTACTCCATCAGTCATGCCAGTAAAGCTTTCCGACAACACACACACACACACCAAAGTTCCCAAGCTTCTCATGAAGCACTTACCCACATCAACTGTTTTCTCTTGAGAATCTGTGACTGGGAGTGTGTGTGCCAAATTAGAGCACATCCTATGCCTGGTGAGAGTGCTTGCTATACCGCAAAGAACCTCTCTCAGCACACACACTCTGTGGGTGTGAACCTCACAAAACGTCCTGAGGACCTGGAAAAGCCTTGTATGAAGTACAGCTGAATCTCTATGGCCTGTGTCTTCTCTCGCTTTCGCTGGGTGTAAAACTCCTCTCAGTTTCTCAGCGGCTTCGTGCAAGATGTTTAACAGATTGTTCTCTTGTGAGAGTGTTAGCTGACTGGCTGGATCTGCCATATTTTCAAGCTGAAAGCCTCGGAACATTAACAAGAACTATTGGTAGAGAAGAAGCAGATAATACACTGTAGGTTTTCCTCTCCGTCTCTCACTGGTAAACCCAGGATTTACCACTACAAGCCCGTAAAATAGGGTCGTCATGGCAAACAAAGGGCATGGCTGGACACAAAAGCGGCCCTTAGAGATAAGACGACTCTTTCAAAAAAAAAAAAAAAAAAGAAGAGAGTAATGTGTACATCTGTGAATGCCCCCTGTAGTCTTGTGACCCAAGTGAGGCACAGATACTATAAGCAAATACTCTGTATGTGTAGTGAAAATAACTTACATATATGTTTGTAGCACCCTACTAATATTATAATATTCAATCAGACCTCACACAACTTACAAACATACTTTTTTTAATGAAAGCCACTGCAGCAAATTAAATAATGGCACCACATAATACTGCCATTACATTTCATACGAGAACAATATTTTAATTAAGCCTGGATTTAAGATGACTAAATGCAATGAAACTTGAGCTTTCACTTAATTAATAAATGAGAACACATGAAGGTTACACTATAATGAACCTTTCTGGCATCTTGACATTATTTAATCTCAGGGAAATTAAAACATGTTGGGTTTATAGAACCATCATGTGGTTGAATGAAACTATACAACCCCATGGACAATTAAGAACAGTGCACACAAAATGACAAAGTGTCTCTTATGACAACAAGTTCTGAATAGTTTGTCTTTAGCATACGATCTAGGACAGAAGACTCAAATGGAAAGTGATGTTATAATTCTGTATTATGGACATCATCCTTAGAATCTGTTTTCTGCAGGTCCACATGACATGACATCCCCAAAATCTTACATTTAAGAGCACACTATGGACAGTGTATGAAAAAAACTATAATATAAAAATATAGAATAAATATTTAAATTTTCTTGTTGTAGGGCTATACCTTCGTTGGAACAAATACAGGGAAAATGAAAATGCAGGAATTCAGCGCCATCATGTGGTCAAATGATTGAATTGCGCATCAATAGGTGTTGACATAGGGGTCACGAGTCACGACTATTATTTGTCAGGCTTGTAAGCACTACTATCTATTTCAATATTTATTATGTGACAACGTTTATAAACATTTACCAAAAAATACAACAGTCCCTCGGTTGTCTCAATTTATTTACATCACAACCAACAACGTTTGCCTTTAGTCTTTTTATTCCTTCAAAAAATATTTACACTTTATTTAAAACCCAAAGTCAACAGTGTCAGTATGATGAAAAAAAGTTTGTGAATAGCGATAATTTGTTTAAAATGCGAGTGATAACAATCACATAATGCTGTTAAAAAAACGACAAACGTTAAATGTAGTTTATGTCCACTTGCCATTATAGACAACAAAATATCCAGACTCCAGTTGAAGAAACACCCAGATACACTAAATGAAAAAACAAAACAAAAACAAAACAAACATCAAGATTTTTTCATGGCAAAAAAGGGCAATCTACTAGACTTCTAAATGTATAATTTAACCAAACAACTGTGGTATTATATGGTCTGTGGTTGGGTTAACCTGAATGCAGAAACTGTCGCTGGAGGCGCATCAAGCTGCAATATGACTGAGAGAGAAAGAGACATTTTCAAATGTGATTACCGACACTATTATATTGTCATGTTATTTGAATTGTAGTAGAATGTAAATGATCTGGGCATGTGTCCCGCATGTTTGCTGTGGTGCAGTATTATTCATGCGAGGTTGGGCACGAGGCGCGTCCGCGTGGCCTGGCTCAGGTAGGCGTGGAGACCCGCGCGCATAGACTCGAAATCCGGAACGACCATTTGATGGGAAGAAACAAACTCCAGCATGAAAACAAAAGTGCCCAAACGAAGCAGATAATGACAACTTCTCGTCAGAAAGTTTCAGCGCCAGTTTGACAACAAGGAAGCTGGTCACTTTGTGAGGTATGTTTCGAGTAAAGACTTACTTTTAAGAAATTAAAATTTCCCCAACATTTCGCTTTCAGCGCCAATTTAGTTCATGGCGTTATGGATATCTGTTATTGCATTTAAATGGTCACATATCCGATTGGTTTGGTGAATAGCCTTAAAATAGGTCAGAATCGTTTGTTTTGTAACTTAGTGTGTTTTGCTCATTCGCTCGTGTTGACTAACTTACTCTCTCAACCTGTTGATGTTGCGCTCATTCACTCCGGTCAGAAAAACTAAAAAAGTGCCTAGTTGAAGAAAGTTCTCACGTAGTTTCCATGCAAAATAAGTTTTTTATACATTACTGATAACATTTGTCTTGTTATCGGAAAGACATCATCTTTCCAAACTTTGGCATGTTGTTAAGCCATGTTTGAGCTGAAGGTATGTGTTTTTACATAAATCATGGACAGCTGCATGCTGAAGATACAGCTTCAGCATGTGTCATGCTGAAGATTTGATCAAGTTGTGATGGTATTTCAAGAAGGATATATTTGCTGTAAAACTTGGGACATTATGTCTTTCTAATAGCTGGACTTTGCTCCTTAGTGTTGGATTTTTATGAGAGAGAAATTCCTGGCATGCATGACTCAGTCAGTGTATTGGGGACAGCAGAATAAGCAAGGCAAAAATGTTCCCACATTCTTAGAGTTCACAAAAAATGAAATTTCTGTTAGCAATAACTCACCCTCATAATGTTCCCAAACTTGTATGAGTTCTTCTGAGGAACAGAAAAGGAGATGTTTGATAGAATGACAGTCCCCATTTACTTTCATAGACCGTCATTCTGCCAAACATCCTTTTTTTTGTGTTTCACAAAAGTTTGTGGAATGACATGAGGGTGAGTAATGCCAGCGATTGGCTGAATTTTAACTTCCTGCTAAATTTTAACTTCCTTCCAAATTATTACCTCCCTCATTGGGTACTCTGCCTGGTTACCTAATCCTAACCCCACCCTCACTCCTAATCCTAAACCTACCTAGACTGGAGTGGTCCGACAAATGGCTTAAATTGGAGGCAAACTGGTGCTCGTTCATGTGAGTCACAGACACAGTCGTGTAGTGTGTATTATCAAAGATATGATCTGAGAGGGAGACATGATCATCTGATGCGTCCGCGATGCGATGCCTGGGCTGCATGCTAAATATCTGGACTTGTCTGACTTGGAGTGTGAAATCTTTTTTGCCTGGAAATTATTTCAGCGATGACCTACAGCCAAATTAGAGCGCAAGTTCAGGGGGAGGGGTCATAGACCTTCAACAAAACATTAGCAAATGTGACTTCTGCAAGCAACCATTCTTTTCTTCATATTTTTTTTTCTTTTTCTTTGAAACAGACAACTTGGATTGCAAGCATTTTTGCGGGCAATTATTTTAACTGGAAGAAATCCAGTCTCACATGAGAATTCCTATCTCACATGTGAACTTACAATATTTCCTGTATTGCTTCTCGCGTATGTTTGGTTGTGAAATGTTGTCTGTTGACCAGACAGAGTTGTCTGCGATTCTTTTTATTGAAATGTTGTGTAATGTGTGACCCCCTTTTGCTGATCCGTCGTGTAATGTGCACACACACACACACACACACCACTGGTTCCCCAGACAGTCGTGCAGTGTATGAAGAACCGCGATCCGACGACTGCATTATTGATGACAGATTTTTGGGTGAACTGTTCCTTTAAGCAAATTTTCTGTGTACATTCTTCTCACTGTAATCACTTTGGTTTGCAGTCAGGCACGGGCCTACATGCTTGTGCTTGTTATAAAGCCTAGTATTGCAACATTTTTGCAGGTGAAAGAGGGACATTTCACCACATGATTAAATCCTGTTTTCGGCTATGTTTAGGAAAAGTCCAGCTGACAGTTTAGCTGCCGCTGCCTTATATATATATCTGGACTTGTCTGACTTGGAGTGTGAAATCTGTTTTTCCTGGAAATTGTTTCATATATATATATATACCTGTATATATTAGCAATTTGGGTGTTCAATTCAAGAAATATACGTGCCAATGTCTGAACTGGTAAAACCCTGGCCTGATGCATGTCAGTGCAGGTTTAGAGGTTGTGAAAGAAGTGATATTTAGCCAGTTCAGATCTGAAAAAAACAAAAAAACAAACAAAAAAAAAAACAAACAAACTGATTTGCTTAAACCAATTTGAGCAAAAGCAGTTTTTTATGTTTAGTGAACATTTGTAAATAAATTGTCTGGTACAGATTGGTTGTATTTTGTAAAATATATTAAGTAACATAATCTAATGAATTACTGTATTTCAGTAATGGATTCTTATTTCTCATCTTAATACTTTTTGGATTGCTTTTCTTTTGAGACCCTTTATATCCAAATAAGGACAAAAACAACAACTTGGTGATGCATAGATGAATATTTATGAATAAAGTTTTCTGTTTTGCAAGTGTAACTTTGCTGATTTTCTATTGTTACAGTGTTGGTAGTATATGTAAATGAACAATGTTTGCTCATTCTTCATGCTACCTGGACTAAGAAATTCACATTTAGTTGTCAGCCAAAGTCTGCGAAATGTGTCATCTGGTGGTCTTTTGACAGCTCTAGGGCTTTTGTGAAAACTACAGATTATACTTCCGCATTTTGGTATCAGTCGGACCAACAGTGGGTTATAGGTTTATGACTGAAAATTGTATCGCTCAATGTCTACTCTTTAAACAGCAGTATGGTAAATACACTATAAAGAAAAATGGTCCTAAACAGTACCAAAATAGGGTTCTTCTTTGGCTGGTAATAACCGAACCCTTTTTGGTGCTAAATAGAACCCTTTTTATATGGTTCCATAAAGAATCATGCTTTGAAAGTGCTATACGAGACCTAAATGGTGTTATAGACCTTGGATGGGGAAACAATGATGCTGTACAAACATTTAGGTAGATTAAAAAAAAAGAAAAAATATTACTTCTATTCATCAAGGATGTATAATTGATCAAATGTGATAGAAGACATTTACATTTAAAAGTAATGGATTACAATATTGTTCCAATATCTAAAAAAGTAAATCATTGCGTTACTATTTAAAAAAAAAAAATTTATTACAACATAACAAAAGTTCTTTTTTTTGGGGCAAATGTAAAGGCCCTTTCACTCCAACAGTGAAATGATTCTGGAGAAGAAAGTTTAACACTGATGAAACACAGTCATTTTTTCGGTAACACTTTACAATAAGGTTCATTAGTTAACATTAGTTAATGGATTTACTAACATGCACTAACCATGAGCAATACATTTGTTACTGCATTTGTTCATCTTTTTTAATGTTAGTTCATGAAAATACAGCTATTCATCATTTGTTCATGTTAGTTCACGGGGCATTAACTAATGTTAACAAGATTTTAATCAAGTATTAGTAAATGTTGAAAATAACATTAACAAAGATTAACAAATGTTGTATATGTGCTATTCATTATTAGTTCATATTAACTAATGTAGTTAACTAATGTTAACTAATGAACCTTATTGTAAAGTGTTACCATTTTTTCTTAGGATGGATGAATTGATGAATCTATTATTATTTTTTAAAATGGCCTTAGATTCCTTTTTTTTGGTCACTTTTAGACAGAATATTTACAGAAAACCACACATACAGCAAGACAATATAGCAAAATAAAATAATTTAATGTCTGTGTTTAAAGAGCACGTTTAGTGAAGTTGATTGTAGCCTATGTTTTAATCAAAGGCTGTTGTTCAAATGGTAGGAAATTTGTTTGCGAATAAATGTTCAGTATCTCTACTTTCCATATAGTTTGTACATCAACGGTAGCAGTTTAAAGTAATATCACGTAATTTACGTCTCTTTGATGATTGGTTGATATACCAATGGAGACTGGCCTCCTCTGCCATGTTACTTTTTTCAACACTCCTAATCGCTGAAAAAATGAAATACTCAATGGTAATTTGCTGTGAAAAAACTACACATTCAGAGACATGAAATGACTAACTGGGAATTTTATGAACAATAAATCTTCCTTCTCTTATTTTCACCTTAACATTTTGGCTATACTCCTTGCCTCCCCTGACGAGCTGCCACTGTCAAAGGTCAACAGCAAAGACACTGGTTTAAAAAGTGAGGTTAAATACATACTGTAAATGATGTATTATTCAACATTTTAATTATTGCAGGTTTGCAATTAGTGTCAGGTCAGTGTTATTCATTTTGATGATAAATACCAAATCTGTATTTTGTGCAAGTAAGATGAATAAATGCATGTTTACATTTAGTCTAGAACTACAGTAAGCATCATGTTTACACAGCGCTCATAACACCTCTGCACCCCACTCCCAATTTATCTCAACATGGTGACAGAAGAGATGTCATTCAGTAATGTGTCAAAAAAAATATCAGTCCTTGTTTACTTAGTATAAACCCTGATTTATGCAACGACAACAACCACAAAAATAGAATGGAAACGTTTTATTTTTTATTTTTTTCAAAATGTACAATTAATTTGATCAAATTAACAGATTGAGAGGGGAGAAAAATACATTTTGGCATTTCCTGCGTGTGCATGAGATTGATGATGAAAGCCTGAGTGTTACACCAGCTGCGTGAGAGTTGGCAACCCTGAAACCAAAGATTAAAACACTGTCTGTGTTGAAGACTTCAATCACATACTGGTGAATAATAAGTCTTTTTAAATTGACTCATTGGTCTGCTCTATTGCACTCTAGATAATCAAATGACTATTTCTGATTTTATTATAACCTGTCATTGTTTAATCTGTCCCACAACAGTTCTAAAATGAACCTACAATTAATTTAATCATTACCAGATCACTAGCACTGTGTTTTGTACCATTGCTTTTGCAAAGAATCTTTCGATCAAACAGAAAACAAAAAGCAAAGGCTGTGATCTAATAAAATAGGTTGCGGTGCATTTTAGAATAAAGCACACTGTTCACGCAAGCAGCCTCTGATTCGTGTCTCAGAGTGGCTCAGTTCACAGTAAATGATG